GTTGTTTATTTACTGTAAACCAATAAGGCCTCCTTTGATTTGTAGGAATTTTGTAGGAATTTCATAGGATAGGATTTTCAAAGAAAAAATTTCTATGAAGCCTTTTGGTTTGTAGGAATGGATTCCTAATCCTATGTAGGATAGGGTCCAATCCTTCACATTTCAAAGGGGGGAAAACATTAGCCTAGACTCAATGAAAAAATTCATATCCTATGCATCAAATGTTATCTCTTTTTTTATAAAAATTGAGATGCATGTCATCTTATTTTCTATGAAGTTCATATTTCTATAATATTCTTATCCTATGAACCAAAGGAGGCCTATGCTTTTCACGTACCGTTTGATCCTTCACTTTCAGTCTCTATGCCAGATCATCACCAGCAAATCCATGTCTAGTGCAGCTGGCCAAGGCCAACATGGGTGAAAAACGTGTGCGGGCCAACCGGAATCGCAAGTCCAAAACCACCAGAGGGCCGCAAACTTTGCTGCGCCATTGGTGGCTAGTGGTAGTTGTAGTCGACACTAGGACGTTCTCGGTCCTTTCACTGACAAACAAACTATTTTTGTGCTGCGTCCATAAAGGACCAAGAAAAGCTTCAATTGTCACGATGCGCCTGCGAAATAGCTATAAGTAGCACACACCTGTCCATGAACATATCAGATACACGTAGAGACCACCTCTTGCACACTGACACGCACGGCAGATCAGCTCGCTAGCCGCCGTATATTTGAGCTCGCAAGTACTGTACCAGAAAAGATGGCAGCTGCTCGCGTCGGCATTCTGCTCCTGGTGGCCATGCTCATCGGAGCGCAGCTCGTGGCCGTGCCGGAAGCTCGCCCGATAGAGCAATCGGCGGTTGAAGAACACACCGCCGCCAACCGCAAAGCGGCTGGCGTTCCGCCGTCCAAGTGGAACGTGCGAAGGGCGGTCGTCGGAGAGAAGAGGACTGTTCCCGGAGGCCCGGACCCACAGCACCATTACTAACCACGTACTTCCTCCGTTTCGAATTACTTGTCGCAAGTATGGATGTATCTAGATGTATTTTAATTTTAGATACATTTATTTCTACGACGAGTAATTTGGAACGGAGGGAGTAGCTAGGTTTGGCTTAGGTGAATGCATTGGTCCGCCATGGGATTATCTCACGAGTTTGATATATGTACTGCTGGACTGTCGGCAGTACCGTGATCTTTTGGTGAAGTAGGCACACGAGCTGCTTGCTCATTGTTCAATCCATACCCATCACCATGAATAAAGGGGTCTTCACAAATTCACATATATGTTTGTATTGTGTTTTTCAAAATAAAATAAAATCATATTACTATTGTCTAGATGATCTAAAAATATATTTATAGTTTCTACTTGTGGCCTTGACTGGAACAACGATGATATCACCAGGCATGACCAATCTAAAAGTATCTCTAACACATCCTCTAAAGAACTTTCTCAATAACATTTTCCAGGTTATTGTGGATAGATGCTTTCGCAGATCCTCTAAAGAACTTTCTCAATAACATTTTCCAGGTTATTGTCACATGGTGGAGTGGCAGTCCTCCTCGATGATCAAGTGGGTGTGGTCGAAGATGTATGACATATGGGACCCACAGTATTGGAATTTGATACTGGGAAAGAGCCAGCAGCCCCTTTGTGTGCGGGAGTTGGACTTTTTTTTTATTCACCAATAATTTGTATCTATATCTATACCAATATAAAAAGACCCAAAGGGGCAGATCCAATTAATTTCGACCATCAAATCATGTCAATCCAACGACCCAAACCGCTTCAATGTCGAGCGCTCAACATGTTTAGCGTGCAGTTAATTTCATACCAAATATAGTGTTAAATCACATAATAACACGCAAATAATATCCTACTTAATATCTGCATGTACTTAATATACTTCTAAATTAACGTGCATTGCACGTACACATTGACTAGTTTAATGAAAAAAGTGTGTTGTTGGAGCAGTTTTTGGGTCCAACTCCCCCAATACCGAAAAAAAGGAGGGAAGGAGAACTTTTAGAGATGCTCTTAGCCCAGCTTCATACATCAAGCTAAGGATTAATTAAATCGCAACAAAGAGATTCAGAACGCGTTGGGTGGGTGCGTATATAAATCATGGAAAACACTATTTCCTTCACAATGCGGCAAAATGTTGAGGCTCCGCACGGGGCGCCCCGACTAGGCTGGCGAATTTTTCTTCCTTTTTTATTTTTTGGTTACTCTTCTTTCTTTCCTTCCTTTTTTTCTTTCTCAAGTTTATTGTTTAATTTTCATGAAATCTTCAGAAATTTCAAAAACTTTCACATTTTTCGAAAATGTTCCTATTTTCAAATTTTGTTCAGAAATTTCAGAAAATGTTCAAATCTTCAAAATTTGTTAAGAATTTAAAAAATTGTTCCCTTCTTTCAATTTGTTTTCGTAAATTCATAATTTTTTCCGTGTCTTTAAAAACATTCAAGTCTTCAAAAAACTTCAAAAATGACTAAAATGTTAGAGATTTTAAATTTTGTTCACACTTTTAAAAAAGGTTCGGAAAATTCTAAACTTTTTTCTTATTTACCAATTTTGTTCACTAATTCTCAAAAGTTCGTGTTTTTAAGAAATGTTTCTGTTCTCCAAATCTTAAAAATATTAATATTTTTTGAAAATTGGGAATTCAAAAAATGTCCGCAGTTTTCCATTACTGTTTCATATTTTGTTCACTGATCAAAATGTTAGTGTTTTTCGAAAACCGTTCATAATTTCGAAAAAATCACTTTTAAGAAAAAGAGCATGTCTTTCAAGAAATGTTCAGAAAGGTTTATAAAATGTTCGATCTGCCGCCACTGTTAGTTCATAAAGGTTTAGTGCTGCTTACAATCATGAACATTTTATGTTCTTGTGGCTCGCAAGCAGCCTACCTCGACAGGTCGCGAGTTTGATTCCAAGTTGGCGCACTGCACCTTTCGGATTTTTTATGCTGCAATGTTGCCTACAGTGCCAGTCGCATAGGCTTCCATATTTATCGTGCGGCTGTTCGACACAGCGCACGGAAGATAGGTGGTCCCCATTGCGAGTCACACGACACTCACCCACGTCCACCAATGGTGGACCGTCAAATTTATGGCGGCTGATCACCTAGTGGGCTTTTCCTTTTCAGGGTCATTCCTACTTGCTGCAACCTTTGTAAGGTTTGATTTTTTTTTCCTATTCCCCTCTTTGTATGCACATTTCCAAATGTTCTACATGTAGAATTTTAAATTAATTTTAATGTGATAAATATTTCATTTTCAGGGGAATTATAAATGTTTCATTGTGTATAAAAAAGGTTATGCAGAATGAAAAAATGTTGATAGCATGTTTAATGTCCACCAGTAACTGAAAGAATGTTCATCGCATTTTTAGAAGAAAAAAATGTTCAGCACATCTAGTAAACAAAAGTTCATCATGTATCTAAAAATGCTCATCGCGTATTTAAAAATTGATCCTCACATTTTTTAAATTTCCATCATGAATTTAAAAGGTATTCTTTGCTGTTAAAAATATTCATCATGTGTCTAAAAAATGTCATCTGGAATTTATATAAAATGTATATGTGTTAAAACATTTTTATCATGTACTAAAAATGGTCATGTAATTTAAAAAGTGACCAATGCAATAGAAAATTGATGTGATCAACAATATGTGTTCCACACATTTAAAAATGTTCATGTAATAAAAAGTGTTTGATGCAGTTAGAATAAATGTTTAAGTAATTCAATAAATGTTCAAATATTAAAACAAATATTCATGTGATTTTAACATAGCGTTCTTATCTTTTTAAATGTTTGTGTAGCTTTAAATTAGAAATTATATTTTTAGTTTATTACTAAATAATATTTATATGCTTTTAATAAAAGTGAGAAAACAAAACAATAAGAAGAAAATACCGCACGATGGCTCAAAAGTGTTTCTTGCTTGTCCCATTGTGCAAAGGTGGGTAGCTTTTCCAAAGGTGGGTAACTTGTCCCATTGTGCAAAGGTGCGACGGTGAGGGGAAATGAATCTTTTGACGAAGCACGGCCGGTTAATTGGCAACGCTCTCAACCGTATATCCTATCAGAGCAAAGTGGCGGCTCGTAATGGCCCAAAACACAGTTACGCAAGCTGCTCACGATCGGCATACATTCTATACTCCGAAAAGTAGCTAGCCGTTTTCGTTCTATGAAAAAAAAAGTAGCTAGCCGACACAAGAACATCATGTGCACGCGGGGCTAACATTGAGTGCGGAAGGCCGTTTGCCGTTTGGTCAACCCCACTCAAACTGCCGATCGAGTCAGAGCTAGCCTATACTTATTACTAAGTAAGGCTATAACATTAAGTAATTTGCACGGGAAGGAAAGCTTCCGATCGAGCTGACTGCTGAGGGCTGGAATCTGCAATGGGATTGGTTGCTTTCAGTGGTAAAACCAAAAGTTGACACGCCCCATGAATTGCAATGGATCCATCAACTTTCGACGCGTCGTCAGTTGTGCAGCCACTCAAAGTATGTACCGTTTATGTATATACTGTAAATAAAGGAGTAAAAGCTTTCCACATAGTACCGTTTGGTTCTCAACTTTCAGTCCCCATCCGGAATCATCACCAGCAAATCCCATGTTCAGTGCAGCTGGAGCTGGCCAGCATGGGTGAAAAACGTGTGCAAGCCAACCGGAATCACGAGTCCGCCGTAAACTTTTGCTGCGCCATGCCGCCATGGCGACTTAGTGGTAGTAGTGGACATTATGACATTCTCACCTGCCTCGCCGCTCCTCATGCGAGTTGTAACTAACTAGCTAACGATTTTTGTCCTGCATCCAAAAGGATCAATGGAAAGCTTCGATTGTCACGACGCGCCTAGGAGCTATAAATACACATGTCTGTCCATGGACACATAATATCAGATACACGTACATACCACCTCTTGCACACTGACACGCACGGTAGATCAGCTCGCTACCTGCCGTAGATTTGAGCTCCCAAGTACCAGAAAGAAAAGATGGCAGCTGCTCGCGTCGGCATTGTGCTCCTGGTAGTCATGGTCATCGCCGCGCAGCTCGTGGCCACGCCGGAACCTCGCCTGATCCAGCACCCGGCGGTTGCACTTGCACACGCCGCCGCCAACGGCAAACCGGCTGGCGTCCCGCCGTCCAAGTGGAACATGCCAAGGACGCTCGGCGCAGTGAAGAGGACGGTTCCCGGCGGCCCAGACCCACAGCACCATTACTAACTAGCTGGGTTCAGTTTAAGTGAATGCATTTGTCCCCCATGGGACTATCTCACGAGTCTGATGTACTGCTGGTCTGTAGGCGTAATTATTGGTTCTGTGATCTTTTGGTGAAGTAGCCACACGAGTTGCTTGCTCGTCGTTCAATCCATAGCATACCCATCACCATGAATAAAGCGATCTTCACAATGTCAGATATATGTTTGTACTGTGTTTTCGAAAGAACTAAAATCACATTTCAGTTGTTCGGATGATCTAAAAATACACTTATGCTTCGGTACAACCCCCCTCCTCTCCTCCTAAATACATTGATGGTGAAGATCTCTCCATACTCCTTCATAATAAATCGTAAAATGGTCTTTTTTGAAGTAAATATGTCGCCCGCAGCGAGCGTACCCTGTGTATGTACCGCCCGTATTCATGGTGTGAAGTAAAACGTCGAAAAAGAGATGTGTCTGGGAAACAAACCTCGGACCTTACACACGTTAAAGGGAGTTGAAAGTGACCCTAGGCGTTCGGGTAATTCGGTTATATCGGTTCGGGTATTTTGGGTAGCGGGTAATACGGTTAGTCGAAAATGGAAACCGAAATTCTGTATTCCAAAGAAATACCCGAACCCAAATTACCCTAAAATTTTGGTTAGTGTATTCCATGTACCCAATAAACGAAATATTCATACCAACTACAACAAATGCAAATAGTTTGGAATTCAGACTAGCAAAAATTCAGATAAACAGACAACATCTCTGTTGTGCACATTAATTGGGAAAAATAGCCAATATTTTTTTTTTTGAAACAAGGCAAAAGATTTGCCATTTCATTGAATAAGGAAGAAGTTTTAGGACAAAGCCGCAAAGCGGCAATAATAAAAGAAAGGACTACTCTCGCGGCATTACAATACCCAACTGCTTTGCACCGGCCAAAGCCCAAAGAGACACCTCGTCTTTAATCTTGGAAATGAGAACCATCGAAGGAACGGCCGTGTTACGGAAGACTCTAGCATTGCGTTCGGTCCAAATCTCCCATGAGATGAGCATCATCAGAGAGGCCAGCGCCTTGGGAGATCCACCCCGAATGTGTATGTTGTTGGTCCACCAATCTCTCACTGAGACCCTCGTCGCCCAGGTAGTCGTGTTGACGTGGTGCAATCCAAGCCACGGAATAATATCGTTCCACATCCGAAGAGTGAATCGGCATTGGAAGAGGAGATGAGCCGCAGATTCCTGGCATTGCTTGCATAGAGGGCATACACCACAATTGGGCCAACCCCGCCTAATTAAGCGATCGGACGTCCAGATCCTATTTTGTAGAACAAGCCAAGCAAAAAATTTGCATTGCGGGGGAGCCCACACCTTCCAGACAGATTGCACCAGATATGAAGTAGTAAGCCCTTCAAACTGTGCCTTGTATGCTGAAGAGGCGGAGTACATATCATCTTTAGTGAACTTCCATACAATTGAATCCTCCATCCCCTCTTCAAGGGTGACCGAATTCAGCTTTCCCCAAAGATTTGCAAACTCTTGGACGTGACCAAGGGAAAGGCCATTGGAAATGTTCGATGTTAGAGATCCACATATTGTTGTGTAGAGCTTGCTGGACGGAACAATTTTTCTTTCGAGAGAGGTCAAAGATGTGAGGCGCGATGTCACGAGGTCTCAAGCCCTGTAGCCAAGAGGAGTTCCAAAATTTTGTCGTTCGTCCGTTGCCCACCGTGACGCGCGTGGCAGCCGTAAAAAACGCCCGGTCATCATCTGTGCACGGCGTGCCCATACCGATCCATGGTTTTGTGGGATCCTTCCACTCCAACCAAAGCCACCTAATCCGAAGAGCCTTAGCAAATTTGGCCAAATTTAACACGCCCAGGCCACCATTCTTCTTCGGCTTGCAAACAAGGTCCCAGTTTATTTTGCATTTTCCATCGGAAACTGTATCTGTGCGCGCCCAAAGATAGGCGCGCCGTAGACTATCAATTTTCTTCAGAACCTCGACCGGGATGTCGAGAGGCATCAGGTGATATATGGCAATAGCGGTGAGGACGGCCTTAACAAGAACGGCCCGACCCGCAGTGGCGACATGTCTTCTTTGCCAAGGGGGGAGCTTGCTAGCCACCTTATCCTCGAGGTGTTGAAAATGAATCCGCTTGAGACGCCTAACGGACAACGGCAGCCCAAGGTATCTCATCGGGAACGAGGTGCGAACAGCCGGGAAAGCTTGAAGAATATCATCAAGATCAACATCGCCATAACGAATAGGGGCCACAAGGCTTTTGGTGCAGTTAGTGACGAGGCCGGTGACCTCCCCAAAGGAGGCCATGGTGGATGCAAGAAATTGAACGTCTTCCTTGATAGGCTTGACAAATATGGCCGCGTCGTCGGCATATAGCGATGCACGGATGGTCGTGGCTCTTCCACAAAGCGGCTGGAGGTGTCCCTGAGCAGTGGCCTTGTTTAGAAGGTGGTGTAGAGGGTCAATCACCAGGACGAACAAAAGGGGAGACAGGGGGTCTCCCTGTCGCAGCCCACATCCATGCTTCAGTGGGTCACCCATCACTCCATTGATCAAGACCCTCGATGTGACCGTGGAAAGGAGGGCTGAAACCCACTCTCGAAATCTTCTTGGGAAGCCGAGGTGTCATAGGAGATCAAAGAGGAAATCCCATCGAACCGAATCAAAAGCTTTCTTGATGTCGAGCTTGAAGAGCAAAGTTGGGGTTTTGCGGCGGTAAAGCTTCCTTGCCAAGTTTCTGACATACATGAAATTATCATGGATACTTCTCTTCTTTATAAAAGCGATTTGGGCATTTGAGACTGGGCTTTGCATGTGCGGTGCAAGGCGTGTGGCCATCATCTTAGCGATAATCTTAGCAATGGCATGGATGAGACTAATGGGCCGGAAATCGGAGATGCACTCTGCACCATCCTTCTTAGGGATGAGGGCGATGTTCGCCGAGTTGAGCCAATGGAGGTTGGCGGTGTGCAAGTTGGATAAGTGGTTGACCGCGACCATAATGTCCCCCTTGATGATCTCCCAACAATCCTTGAAGAAGGCACCGGTGAAGCCATCCGGCTCCGAGGCTTTGTCACTTGGGAGATCCCAGATTGCCCTCTTAACCTCTTCCTCTGTGAAGGCAGCCCCAAGATCCGAAAGGTCACAAGCAGGGACCGGAATATTACTCCAATTAATGTCAATGCTACGAGGTGGACCCCTTTTTGTTACCTTCAGGAAGTGGTTTTGGATGATGGACTTCTTGTGATCATGATGAGTGACCCATCCACTATTGTGCTTGAGGTGGTGAATGAAATTCTTTCTTCTTCTACGAAAGATCCGAAAATGGGTGTTGGCATCTCCAACTTTGAGGTTGGTGATTCTCGAACATTGCCTTTTCCGGGCACGCTCAAGCACAGATAGACTAATCACCTTGCGCTTGAGCCTCCTACGAAGATCTCGCTCATCAGCACTGAGAGGCCGGGAGTCTTGGGCCTCGTCCAAACGAAGAATTACCTCTAGGGCCATGTGGACTTGCACCTTCGAGTGTGCAAAAATCGTCTTGCTCCATTTTTTAAGCGCTTGGCTCGTATTTTTCATTTTGTGAAAGAGAATGTGGTAGGGGTCCACGTGGTTCACCTGTCTACCCCAAGCTCCTTGGACAGTATCTTGGAACCAAGGCATTTTAGTCCAAAAGTTTTCAAAGCAGAAGCACTTGTTTCTCGGCGGCCCTTTATCATTGGCAAGGAGAAGAGGGCAATGGTCAGACAGCGAAGATGAAAGAGCATGCAGAAGATGCGTGCCAAATTCGACGTCCCATTCCTCATTGCAGAAGAAAGAGTCGAGCTTGCTCATTGTTGGATCGTTTCGCTCGTTGCTCCAAGTAAATTTCTGGTTTTGCAGGTGTATCTCTTTAAGCTCACACGCATTGAGGGCGTTGCGGAAATGGACAATTCGACTCCGATCAACATTTGCACGGTTTTTGTCTCTAGCTCTATATATTTGGTTAAAGTCACCGGTGACCAACCATTTGTCTCCAGTGGGGGGCTTCTCCTGGGCCAGCTCCTGGAAGAAGGCGTCTTTGAGGTTTCTTCGAGTCGGGCCGTAGACAGATGTTAGCTTGAATAAAGTGCCTGATGAAGCAATGGTGACTTTGGCAGAGAGGAAAAATGCACCGAAGGACACATTCTGGACAGAGACAAAGTTCTCATCCCAGAGAAGCAGAATGCCGCCGCGGGTGCCCAATGCCGGACGTTGAGCAAAGTTCTTCAATCTGTGCCCTCCCAGGTGGGAAGCAGTGAAAGGGTCGACCTGCTCGAGCTTGGTTTCTTGAAAACAAATGATATGACAGGGAGTGGCATTGACGGTCTCGTAGATGGCAGCGCGACAATCAGGACAGTTTAAGCCTCTGACACTCCAACTAAGAACACTCAGGTTTTGATCTAACATTGATGAACTCAGATTACATCGGAGGAGCAGACCCAAACATGATCAGCTCTATGCGTATCGCACAACAATCCAAATGGAACAAAGCACAGCTCAGCAGCCAGCAACAATTGCAACACACATCTAAGGGCACTTCGCCAGGGCAACAGCTAGCCGCAGCCCTCAAGACCAGCAGCAAGCAGGTGTACAACATGCATTTCAGGGTTGTAGCTAACATGGAGAAGGGGCAACATCAACTGGGACTTGCACCAGTCCGATCATGCCGACACGCCGGCGATCTCCTCGACCGTTGCCTGCAGTTCAGGGCCAGCCTCACCTCCATGTTCCAACAGAGCATCTTCAACAGCCGTAGCAAGGTCATAGTCAAGGTTGAACAGAGCCCTAAGGGCTAAAACAGCTATGTCCGGTAGCCTTCCCTGAAACATGTCAACGAACTTGCCAATGGCGTCTTCCCTGAGTTGTTGTCCTTCATCTATGATTCCCATGCGCTGGCACAACAGCCTCTCGGCCATCTGCGCCACAGGCATCTTTATGTTCTTTGCTTGAAGGCGTGGGCTGCACCTGGTCGTGTT